TGAGCACAAAGGGGGTGGGTTAAAGGGGGGTTGCCTGAGAGGCAGGGCAGGCTCTGCGCCTCCAGCCTGGCCCCAGGCGAGTAGTTCCCACCCTTCTCCCTGAGCCCACCTGAGCGCAGGGCTGGGTGGGTCGAAGAGGACAGGGCCGGGGCTGGAGAGATAGCACAGCGGGTAGGGCGTTTGCCTTGCACTCAGCCGACCCGGGTTCTATTCCCAGCATCCCATGTGGTCCCCTGAGCAACGCCAGGAGTAACTCCTGAGTGCAATGCCAGGAGTAACTCCTGTACATAGCCAGGTATGACCCAAAAAGCCAAAAACAACAACAACAAAAAAAAAAACAAAAAAAAGAAAAGGACAGGGCCTGGGCCAGGCCTACTGCAGGACCCCACACTGGTGTGTCCACGCAGTGCTGGGCATGGAGTTGGCACTTGTGACAAGCAGAGGGACTGCCACCCTATGAGGGAGGCCACTCATGACACATGGGGGACCGGGGTGACTCTAGCCCACTTGCCCTGGGGTCATGGCCACCTACCTCCCCTCCCCTGCCCCTCTCCAGCCAGGACCCTAGTGACCACCTCGGTGACTAGCCGGTGAGTCTCCCTGTCAGCTCCCAGGAGTGGGGCTGGACAGGGCGATGGGTGAGTGGGTTCCTGTTGACAGGGCGGCGGGGGGGGCACCTGGGGGACTGAGTCGAGGCTGGAAGCCTCCTTGGAAGCCCTGCTGGCTGCTGGCTGTGGGGAGCTCCTGAGATTGGCGTCAAGGATCCCAGGCTGGGAAGTGGGAGCCCACAGGCCCTGGAGGGAGGTCTGGACGGGGTAGTGTAGGAGGCTGGGTGCTGCAGGACATGGGGTTAGAGGAGCCTAAAGTGGTGACAGCACAGTGGCCTGGACGGAGACATTGTTCATCCCGTGTCCCTGTCTCTGCTCACCCCTTCCTGTCCCTGCTCAGGCACCCCATCCCCTCCCCCAGCCAGTCCCCTCCCCCAGTCCCTGTGCTCTGCTCCTTGCAGATCCCCTAACCGTGCAGACGTGAGACGTCTTCCTGGTGCAGTGGCCTGGGCTGTTGTCCGCTCCTCTCCCGGCAGTGCTGGCTGGGTAGGGGCTGAGTTGGCCGGGGGCAGACAGTGCCTGGCCCCTGACCAGCAGCCGCTTCTCTGTCCGAGCACTGTGCCAGTAGAGTGGGCACAGGTCTCAGCAGATGCACACTCACTCCAGCCCCACCACTTCATGGACCCTTGCCAGGGTCACAGCTCAGTTTCGGGTTTCAGGTGCAATTCTGGTGGGTTTTCTTTAATCGTTAAAGAACTTTTTAATAGTTAAAGTGTGTGCTTTAACTATTAATAGTCGCGGCTACCTGGCGGGTGTTGGTTTTCCTCTGAACGGCACCCCACGCCTCGGGTTTCTCCGGAGTGACTCATAATGGTGATGAGACCCAGTGTCTCACGGCTCAGTATGCGTCTCTTGGTGTTCCCTGGTGCCAGCTTCCAGGGCCACTCTGTGGGTGCTCCCTGCCCAAGACCCCTGGGGGTGAGTGCAGTGCTGCAGCTTCTCTCTCCCACGGGGACTCCACTCTGAGGAGCGAACAGAACAGAAGCACCTTCTGCCTCTGGGCACTTCCTGGGCAGGGGAAGGCTCTGGCCCCCAAACTCAAGTCAGCCCCTACCCTGCACCCCATGAGTTAAGGTATATGCAAAAAAAACACCCACGACGCTAGCCACAGAAGTAATAGGGCATTCAGAAAGAAGAGTGAGGGCCTGAGTGACAGCACAGCGGGGAGGGCATTTGCCTTGCATGCGCCAACCCGGGTTTCATCCCCGGCATCCCACATGGTCCTCTGAGTACCACCAGGAGTAAAAATCAAGTGTGTATGCAGGAATGTGGGAGATACCTGGAGCGCTCGGTCAGACAGGGAGAGCTGGGTGGTGGAATAGGTCGTGACAGCCATCGTCTTCAGTATAGTGTCAGCTACACCAGGACCTATTCCACATGGAGCGGAGTTGACAGTCAGACTCAGGAAAGGATATTTATTTATTTACAGATTTCTTGGTCAAACCCAGCAGTGCTCCAGGCTTACTCCTGACACTGTGTTCAGGAATTACTCCTGGTAGTGCGTGGAGGACCATATGGAATGCCAAGGCTTGAACCCGGGTCAGCCAGGTGCAAGCAAGCACCCTACCCACTGTACAGTGATTCCTAAAAAGGAGTTTTCAATTGTGGCTACAGTAATGAAAAACTTCTGCTGAAGATAACAACAAAAAACAGTTTAGGTGAAAGAGTGAAGTGTGGGAAGCAGATGAGAGCTCGGCGGAATGCATCGGGAGCGCTAGGTGGCACAGCCCTTCCCAGCCCAGGACTAGCTCGCGGCGACGGCGTTGACAGGGAGACCCAGCAACTGGCTGTGGACGTGGACCCACCATGATCCCTGGCACTGCATGGTCCCCCCCAAAATGCCCAGAGTATCCCCAGGCTCTGAGCTAGCAGCTGCCCTGAGCGCTGCCGGGTATGCTCCAAAACAAAAACAAACACAAAGACCCAGTGGCTAAAAACAGAAAACCCTGAGTCCCTGGAGATGCCCCAGCAGCCGGAAAATAAAGACTAAATCTGTGCTTTCACGTAGGAATGTTTGTGTTTTTGTTTTGGGGCCACATCTGACTGTGTCCGAGACTTTTTTCTAACTCTGTGCGTAGGGATCATTCCTGGCGGTACTTGGGAGACAATACGGGGTTCTGGGATGGAACCCAGGTTGGCGTGCACAAGGCAAACGCCCTCCCCTCTGTGCTATTGCTCCTCACGTTGGAAAGTATTAATGAGTCATGCGTTGGGAAATAGGTATTATTCATTGTTGTTGGGAGGGGATATTTGCATAAACTTTTAATAAATCCTTGACAAAGCACATGCACATGTGCCTCTGATTTGGCTTCCAGTGGCCAGACCTTCTCTCAGGAGCAGCTGTGGAAAGTGACTTCCTAGTCCTTGCCATGTGCTTGGTATGCCATCTGGGTAACTCTCTTGGTTTTATTCCTGGGCACCGTATCTGGGCCCCTGAGCCGTGCCAGTGTAGCCCTTTCCTCCCCAACAATAATGCTAAAAAGTAGAAGTCTTGGGCCTGAGTGATAGTCCAACGAGGAGGGCATTTGCCTGGCACACAGCCAGGATCGATCCCCAGCATTCCATATGGTCCCCTGAGCACCGCCAGGAGTAATTCCTGAATGCAGAGCCGGGAGTAACCCCAAAAAGGTGTGACCCAAAAAGACCAAAAAAAAAGAGAAAATTTTCAACACTAGAAGTATCTGTTTCTGGAAAAAGACTGAGTGATTCAGTGGTGATGAGTGTACTGTAGAATGTTCTATAGCAGGGGGAAGGCTCAGAGGGCTGGAGCATGCAGGGCCTCATGGACCGAACACCAGGCCAGGAATAGCCCCTCAGCACCACTGGATGGGACTCAAGAACAAGAACACACACAGAAAGTGAAATTTTGAAAGACAGGGCGGATCCCATCTGTTGAGATTCTGCTTAAATAATTCCCCCAGCCTCTCTCCCCACCAGGACTCCTTGGCACTCATACCCCCGAGAATCCCCCAACCATCTCCTAGCTGAAGGCCACACTTTTTGGGTAAAGTTCTTCTTTTTTTTTTTTTTTTGCTTTTTTGGGTCACACCTGGCGATGCACAGGGGTTACTTCTGGCTCTGCACTCAGGAGTTATTCCTGGCGGTGCTCAGGGGACCATATGGGATTCTGGGAATTGAACCCGGGTCGGCCGCGTGCAAGGCAAACTCCCTACCCGTTGTGCTATCTCTCCAGTCCCGTAAAGTTCTTTTATCACTCTGCAATCTGGTTACCGAAATTCCAGCACTTCTAGGTGACAGAAATCCTGGTCTCTGCTGTTCGTTGTGGTTTGAACTTCTTACGGCATGTGCATGTGAATTTAAAAATCAGCAAGCCCTGGGCCCAGAGCGACAGCACAGTGGGCAGGGCGCTTGCGTTGCACAGAGCCGGCTTGATTTGGTGCCTCGCATCTCATATGGTCCCCTGGGTACCGTCAGGAGTGGTCCCTGAGTGCAGAGCCAGGAATAAGTACTGGGCATTGCCGGGTGTGACCTAAAACCTAGCTGCTCCCCCCCCCCCCCCAAAAAAAAAATCAAGCCCAGACAGCAAGCAGAAAAAGAGTTGATTTTAAGCTAGTCTGGATGGGGTAGGAGGGAGAGGCCATAGCCACAGAGGGCCCAGGAGGGAATGACTGTCCCCCGTGGGCAGGTGCCGTGCACAGCAGCACAGAGCCCACCGGGAAGCCTCAGAGCACTTGAGCCTATGCCAAAGCAGGAATCTTCTCTGTGATGCCAGATTCCATGTGTTCCCCCCTCCTCATGTGCACGCTGAGACCTTACACGTGCTCCTCCCCACACGTGCACGCAGAGACCCTCACATGTGTCTCTCCTGCCCTAGCGGCAGCATCCTGGGTGTGGGTGGGAGGTGCTGCCTGAGTCTGCAGGGCGGGCAGGGTCCAGGGCTGTGTAGATGCAGCAGAAACTTGGCACGGAATTCCGGACGGACAGCACGATGGCCTCATCCACACCGTAAGGAAATGGCACAGCCCGTTTCACCTGTGGCTGCAGAAAACCTTGAGGAAGAAACAGCATGGGGTCGTGAGGCCCACGCTCTGCCACTCAGCAGTTCCCACCCATCACTGGTCTTGTTTCCTCTCCTGGGTCACCCCCAGCCCTGGGCCCTGTCATGGGTTACCAAAATATTGGGGCCCTGCAGTGATTGGGTGGCACTTTCTCATTCATTTTGTTTGAAGGGGGGCGACTGGAGCAGTACAGCACAGCAGGGAGGGTGTTTGCTTTGCACACAGCCGGCTCGGTTGATCCCCGGCATCCCTAGGGTCCCCCAAGCAGAGCCAGGAGCAACCGCTGAGCACTGCTGGGCGTGCCCCAAAAAGCAAAACGAAAACATTTTTATTTCAAGAGGCATCTCTGATCTCCCCTTACGTTGCCTTTCAGTGGGAAGTTGGTGTCTCCAAAATGGAAGAATTTCAAGGGCCTGAAGCTCCAGTGGAGAGACAAAATCCGGCTCAACAACGCCATCTGGCGGGCGTGGTACATGCAGTGTGAGCACGGGCACCCGGGCCTGGGGGAGCTGGCTACCTGCCTCCATCTCTGAGTTTCACCCAGAAATGCCTCTGGGCAGTCTAGGGGGTGTTCTGGGGGGGAACCAAGCCACCGAGAGAGAAGAACCTGGGCACACACCAGCCAGGAAGTGCAGGCCCGGAGGAGAGCTGCTGCACAGGGCCCACGGGGTTGGACAGGCCAGCGGCTGGGGCCTCTCAGGCTCGGCACGCGAGCGGGCTGCTGGACGTCCTCCTTCCTGTCAGAGGCGCGGGCCAGGCTGGCTGGTGCTGGCCGACCCGGGCTTCTGCAGGTGAGGAGACCCGTGGGGTGCACTTGGTCCCACAACTGTTTGTCTTAAGGAGCCAGACTCGGGGGTTCAGTCTCCCTCTCCTGTGGATCCCTTCTCTGAGGTCTCGGTTTCCCCAGGAAAATGAGGGAAGCCAGCGGAAGGCTCCCGTGGAGAGGGGCCCCCTCACTGGCGCTGTCCTTTCCCCATCCAGATCTGGAGAAGCGCAAGAACCCCGTGTGTCACTTTGTCACCCCTCTCGATGGCTCTGTGGATGTGGACGAGCACCGGCGGCCAGAGGTACCTGTGCACCCTCGAAACCTGAACAAGGGTTGGGACACGGGGCCAAGGGGACCCCGTAGACTGTCAGATAGCTTGGGGCCTTTCCCGCTGGGAGTTGTGCAGGCGGGTCTCATGGCCTTTCTGAGCAATCAGACCCAGGCTGGACAGGGGTGCAGCGCCGAGGCCTGGGGCAGGGCCATGCCCAGGAGACGGGAGGTGGTGACTGAAGGGCACAGGAGGTGCTGGGCACCTGCAGAGTTCCAGGCTGGTGGCGTGAGTGGCCGAGGCCACACCTTTTCATTCTGCCCCTGCCTGCCACAGGCCATCACCACAGAAGGGAAGTACTGGCGGAGCCGCATCGAGATCGTGATCAGGGAGTACCACAAGTGGAGAACCTACTTCAAGAAAAGGGTAGCTGACGGGGGCCCCTGGAAGAGCATGAGGAGCGCGGGAAGGGCAGGGCCACGGGCCCGCCGCCGGCAGGGGGGCTGGCGAGTGGCCGGACCCCCCCCCCTGTGGCTCACGGAGGCCGGGGTGCCCTCAGGGAGGAGAGGCTGGGGGTCTCGTCCCCTGCTGCTGCGGCCTTCGGTCACCCCGTCCTGCGTTCTCCTCAGCTGCAACAGCACAAGGACGAGGACCTTTCCAGCCTGGCCCAGGTGTGTGAGCCCAGCGAGCCCCGAGCGGGTCAGCCCTGCCCGCCCACTCCCTCCCCAAAAGAGCTGCCCTCTGGGCTTCGGGTGACCTGGGCCTTGCTCTCTGTTGCAGGATGATGACATGCTCTGCTGGCCCAAGCATGGGGATGGCTGGAAGACCCCGGTGCCCATGGAGGAGGACCCCCTGCTGGACACGGACATGCTCATGTCCGAGTTCAGCGACACCCTCTTCTCCACGCTTGCGTCTCACCAGCCCGTGGCCTGGCCCAACCCGCGGGAGATCGGTGAGCTGGGCGGCATGCTCTTGGACCAAGGGCTGGCCATGGAATGGGCCCTCCACCCCCCATATCCCCCCCCATTCCCGCAGCCTGTCAGGCCTCGCCCTGGTCCGGGGTCTGAGACGGTGCCTCCGGTTCTTGCAGCACATCTGGGAAACGCAGACATGATCCAGCCGGGCCTCATCCCTCTGCAGCCTAACCTGGACTTCATGGACACCTTCGAGCCTTTCCAGGGTGAGCACCGGGGCTGGGGCCCAGCTGACATGCCCACCCTGTTGCAAGGGGCCGGGACCAGCCGGCCGGGGGAGGGCTTGAAGTTGTTCCACGTTCACCACCTTCTGCAAGGTGGGGAGCTTTTCTGGGGCCTTCCCACCCCCCCAGGTTCTGGGCCTTATGGCCCTGACTGGCGGCAGTGCTCCCTGCAGGCAGCAGGGGGCGCTGGTGACCGGCTCTGCCACACTCCTACCTTGAGCGCAGCCTGTTCTGACAGTTCGCTGCCAGCTGAGTGGCCAGCATGTGTAGTTCCAGCCAAGGGCCCTCTGTGCTCACTCGCACAGGGACGTGCCGCCATGAGCACCCCGTCTCTCTTGCAGATCTTTTCTCTTCCAGCCGCTCCATTTTTGGCTCCATGCTGCCCGCACCTGCCTCCACCTCTGTGCCAGACCCCAGCAGCCCACCTGCACAGGTAGAGGGCACCTGGGTGGGTAGAGAAGCCCCCAGAGATGGGAGAGACCCTGGGAGGCCCTCAGCCTCCTCCCTCAGACCAGCACTCACGCAGGGACACGCTGGCTCGGTCCCTTCGGTCCAGGGCTCCTGCTGGGTGCCGGTGCAAGTCGTGGCTCATGGGGCCACCCCAGGACTCACCTTCCCATCCTCCCCTTCTCAGGAGAGCGTCCTCCCGGCTGTGGGCCTCCCGGACAGTCTCATTGCGGCCCCCACAGACACCACGCTGGACCCCCCTGAGCGGCAGAGTAGTGGGCACGCGCCCCAGCCCGAGGAGCCTTTTCTCCAGGCCTCGGACTTTGGCGCCCCGGTGGCGCCGCTGAGCACGGCCCCGTCCTTCATGCCCGTCTTCCCCTTGCCCCTGCTGTCGCCCAGCCCCGCCCCCGCCCCCGCCGTGCCGCCCGCCTTCCTTCAGACACAGAAGTTTGCGGGCGTTGGCACGTCACCCTCGGTCATCACCCACACGGCCTCGGCCACCCTCACCCACGACGCCTCTGCCGCCAGCTTTGGCCAGAGGCCGGGCCTGGTCATCGCCGCACGCCAGGCCGCACCCTCCCCGGCCCCCTGCGCTCTGGCGCTGTCCCCTGCCCCCCGTCCACCCACCGTGGGCCCTCCCCAGCCCCAGCTAACCTTTGTACACCCCAAACCCATGTCCTTAACCGGGGGGAGACCTAAACAGCCCCCCAAAATAGTGCCTGCCCCCAAGCCAGAGCCCGTGTCCTTGGTCCTGAAGAGCGCCTGCCTGGCCCCAGGTGAGTGGCAGGCCCAGTGCCCGCTCCCTGGCCAGGCCGCCTGCTTTGGGACATGTCCCCCCCGGGGTGGGGCATCCACCTATGGCACTGGGCTCTCTCCTTGCTCTCCTGCAGCCGCCTTCTCAGGACACCCCCGTGCGGTGATCATGACCTCGGGTCCCCTGAAGCGAGAGGCTGTGTTGGCTGCGCCCGTGTCCCAACCCAGTGTCGTCCTCACGCCCGCCACCATCGCCAGGGTGAGCGTCAGCGTCCCCACTCGCCCCCCCCACCACAGTGATCCGGCCCCACCACCAGCTCAGCGACTCTCTCTGTGTCACCACAGGCCCCTGGAGTTGCGGAATTCCACGGCGGCATCCTGGTGACCGAGCTCGGCCCCAGCCCGGGTGGGCCCCGGCTTTTCTCCCCGGGCACAGTGCAGGACCCCCTGGTCAAGGGCGAGCAAGCCCCCGTGGCAGGCCCCAGTGAGTGTTGCTGCCGGGTGGGGTGTGAAGACTCCTCTGGAGAATGCAGGAGGGGTGGCAGCGCAGGGACAGGGACACAGTGCAGGGACACAGAGGGGATCTGCCTGACCCAGAGGAGACCCGAGTCTTTGTGTGGCCATGGCCTCTGGAAGTTCAGGATTGCTGTGGCCACGGCAGCCATCGGTGTTGACTGTGTGATAACCATCGGTGCCAAGTGTGCCGTAGGATGGGGGCTGCTGTGGGTGCCGCAGGCAGGGGAGCACTGATTGGGTCCGGGGGCCAAGGAGCCGGGGACACCTGCTGTGCCCGAGGCCACTGCCCGAAAGCCCCAAGTTCCTGTGCCCAGAGGGCCCAGAATCCTGTGGGAAATGATCCCCCACCCCAGGCCTGGAGGGAATTTGATGGGGGCCTGTGCGGGGGCAGAGCGGAGGGCAGGCAGAGGACTGGTCGCTCCCAAGCTGGAGCGTTCGGGAAGTTGACCCGCTGGTGCAGGAGGCGGGTAGGACAATGGACGGACCGTCACCGGGGCCACGCTGGGTGGGCGTCCCTGAGAGCCTGTCCCTCCCAGGCCGTGACTGCACTGGCCCCGGGCAGGCCTCGCCCTGCGCCCTGGAGCAGAGTCCTGGCCCCCAGTCCCCCCAGAACAGCTGCGTGGGGAAAGCCGCCGAGCCCAAAAACGTGACTGCTCTGAAGGTACCGTCCGGGGAGAGTGGAGGGACCCCTCGGGGCTTCCTGCACGCCGCCCCCTCCCGGAGCCCCCCTTCCCCGGCCCCCTGTCGCGGACTCTGCCCTGCCCACCCGCGACTCCCCAGAACCGGCAGATGAAGCACATCTCGGCCGAGCAGAAGAGGCGCTTCAACATCAAGATGGCCTTTGACACACTCAACAGCCTCATGTCCAACAACTCCAAGCTGGTGCGTGGCCGGGCGGGCGGCTGGGCGGGCAGGGGCTCCTGGGCGCCGGTGTCACCGCTGACGCGCTGCCCCGCAGACCAGCAACCCCATCACGCTGCAGAAGACGGTGGAGCACATCACCAAGCTGCAGCAGGAGCGCAGCCAGCTGCAGGAGGAGGCGCGCCGGCTGCGCGAGGAGATCGAGGAGCTCAACGCCACCATCCTGTGAGCCGCCGCCCCGCCCGCCCGCGCCCGCCCCTCCCCCCCACCCCGTCCCCTGACTCGTCCCTTGCTGCCAGCTCCTGCCAGCAGCAGCTCCCGGCTACGGGCGTCCCTGTCACCTGGCGCCAGTTTGACCACATGAAGGACATGTTCGACGAGTATGTGAAGAGCCGGACTCTGCAGAATTGGAAGTTCTGGATCGTATCCTTGGTTCCTGGCACCTGGGCCGGGAGAGGACTGGGGTTGCTCTGTGCCCGAGGGACAGTACCCCGGGCACTGGGGGCCAGAGGAGCTGCAGTGGCCTCCGGGAGGGCGCTTGGGGTACTTGGTTTCCTCCCTGAGAAGAGGCATTTCCAGGGCCTGCAGTCGTCCCCTGGGGGATACAGTAGGCAGAATAATTTTGGGATCCGCTGGGCTAACTGGAAGGGCTGGAGTCTTGGTCTGTGCCCCAGCCATTGGGGTCCTGTTGGGGGTGCTACGGCGGGGGGGATCTCAGGAGTCTGAGCTTGGCCCAGCCCCCAGCGCATGCCCAGGTGCCGCAGGCCCAGAGACCGCCCCGCTCCTGTCCCCAGGACCAATTGTGGGGTACAGCCGACCACCCTGGGCCCCCTCTCGTCCTCGGCACTCTCCTTAGCCGCGCGCAGTTCAGCTTCATCATCCAGCCGCTGTTCGAGTCCTTCAAGGGCAGCGTGTCTGGCAGCAGCCTGGACGAGCTGCACCGCTCGGCGCTCAGCTGGCTGGAACAGCGCTGCTCCCTGCCCGTCCTCAGGCCCAGTGAGTGCCCACACGCTCAGCATGCTCGCGTCCCCCACACGCACACACACGCACACGCACACACACACACACACGTGCACACATATGCACACACGCCCATGTCCCCCCACCCCTCCCAGGGAGCCTCTGCCCAGCCCCTCAGCGGAGGGCACGGACTGGTGCACAGGTGCTATGGGCAGAGGCGGCCTCGGGGACAGGCGTGTGGAGGGCGGCCCGGCGCTGAGCCCCCGTCTCCTCTCCGCCTCACAGCGGTGCTGAGCACCCTCCGGCACCTGAGCACCACCACGTCCATCCTCACGGAGCCCTCCCTGCTGCCCGAGCAGGCGGCCGAGGCCGTCACCAGAATTGGCCGGAAGTCGGGGGAGTCGTAGCCTCGCTCAGCCCCCGGAGTGTGAGGAGCCGCGGACGCCCCCAGGCCCACCCGTCACTCACGCCACTGTGCCTGGGTCTGCCCGCCCCCCGGGCCCCGCCAATGTCCGCGGGTCAGCCGCCTGCGGGGTTCGTGTGTGGCAGGGGTCACGGGGCCACTGATCAGAGGTCCCGCTCTGGCCCGTGACTGCGCTGCCTGCAGCCACACCAGGACGATTGTCGGACCAAAGACCCTCCTGCCCGCCGGCCCCGCACAGGGGCTGGAGCAGCAGCGGGTGCGAGGGCAGCGCATGGCCATGGCCATGCTCAGCGCTGCCCCGAGAGCGACACGGAGGGTGGCAGCCGAGGGGGCCCAGGTGCTCTCGACACTCAGGAAGCCCAGAGGCCCCCACGCCCCCTGCCTCCTGCTGGATGTGGGGCGGGGGCCGGCCAGCCGGGAACGGGTCTTCCGGACTCCCCGGTGCCTCCTGGACACGTTTACAGGCCTCTTGGGCGGGATCCATGGGCCGGGGACAGGGCAGCAGGGCCGCCCGGGGCCTGGGGGACACTCTTGGTCTCCTCTCTCGCCGTGCCTTCTCTGTCTCGGGGTCCCCCACGGCCACAGCTTTCTCCCCCTGGCCAGGGGCCCTTGGTTCACCTCTGTGGGGTGTGTCCATGCCCACCTACCTCTCCCGCCCGCAACAGTGGTGCCGGGGCCCAGCCGGACCCCCCCACCCCGTGGCTGCCCCGCAGCACCACCTCTGGTGACTCCTTCCCCTGGTGCTCACCTCACCCCATGGTCTGGCCACAAAACTGTGCCCCCCAGTCCTCCTGCCCTGATGAGGCTGAGACCACTCCACGGGGACGCCCCTGCCCCATATCCAGGCCCACACCCGGGCCAGGTGTGGGCAGCAGGGACCGTGGCACAGGTCAGCGTGGCTTTGTTGGAAACCCCATTTTTTGAGGAATTGAGGGCGGGGGCCCCCCAAACCCACAGGAGCCTCTGGGGCACGGTGGGCACTGGCTGCCTTTCGCCTGGCACCCTCCCCTTCCTGACACGAGAGCTTTGGTTTGGGGGGGTCAGCTCCTCAGTGCTGCCCAGGAGAAGGGGTGCAGAGTTGGGCTGAGTGAAGGGGATGCGGGCGGGGGGGCACCCAAGGGGCAGCTTGTTTCCCAGGCCCCCTCCCCTGTGTCAGCTGAACAGGGTCCCGTGCCGCCTGCTCCCTGCCAGCCCGCTCTTGGCTGGGGGCCTGTTCCGGTGCACCCCTGGGGCACATGGGGGCTGGGAGGGTGACGGGCCTGGTGCCCGTGGTCGAGAAGTCTCAGGACCTGCTGCCCTCCAAAGCGAGCCCAGTGTGGAGGTGGGCGGTTGCTTCCGTGTGTGTATCCCGTCCCAGCCGTGTGCAGGACTTGACCCTGTCCCAGCCCTGCTGTCCCTGTAGTGCGGCAGGCTGCCCGCGCCCAGGAACTCCACTGCCGCGCAGCCCAAGGTCTTCCCTGCCCCAGCTCCACAGTGCATTTCAGACTCACTCTGAGACAATAAATTCGCGTTGTCGGGAGCCGCCTATGCCCGTGTTTCTCACTGCTGCCCCCGCCCAGGCCAGGGGACCCTGTCTTGTCTCCGGGAAGATGAGGCCTGAGCGGCCCTCGGGTCCATGCTGCGGCCTGTTCTGTGCCAATAGGTGACCGACTTCAGGCTCGCTGTCCACACTGGCGGGGTGGAGGAGCCTTACCCTGGCTGGGTGCTCTGCCCTGAAGGGTGGGCGTTGGCACTGCCCACTGAACCAGACTTGGCCTTGAAGGCCGGGGCGGGTGCTCGGTGCCCCCTGGACCCAATAGGCCCCCAGTGTTGCATTTTGGGGAGGCCAACTCTGTACGTGAATGGAATCACAGGTGTCACAGGGGTTTAGACAGGCTGCGGAGGGCCAGTGTGTGGGATTCCTGCCCTCACGGCCAGCCTGGGAGCCACCCTGGGGCCCAGATTGGTGGCACGGTCATGCCCTGGTCCAGAAAGGCTGTGGGCTCTGGGGCTGAGACAGACTTTGGCCTTCCGCCACCCTGCGCTTCCTCCTCTGTGGACCGGCCCCGCTGTTCCTGTTAACAGACCCTCCGCCGCCCCCACCATGAGGCTCCAGTCTAGACCCGCGACAGCAGCCAGAGCTGGTGTGGGCACACACGCCCCGCCTGCCCAGCGCGCCCTCTGGTCCTTCTGCCCTGCCCTTCGCTCCCCCGGCTTCCAGGCGCCAACCATCACCTTGCCTTCCTTCAGGGCTCATCCTGCATACCAGGTTCCGCGGGCCTGGCGCAGCACGCTCAGGCCACTCGATGCCCGGCTGAGCCCGCGCCCCTCCTCTGTCTCCTAGTGGCAGTGTGGCCTTGGAGTAGGGCAGCAGGACTGGAGGCTGCTGCCTCCTAAGAGAACTTACGGTTCATTGGGGGAATGTTGGGGCCACGCCTAGCGGTGCTCAGGGCCCGCTGTGGCTCCATGCTGAAGACTCGCTCGCTTGGAAGAGCTTGGGCACCAGGCAGAGGAGGGGTGAAGCCAGGGTCTCCCGCGAGCAGAGCACGCACCAGCCCGTTGAGCACCTCCATGATGCCATGTTCCATTTTAGACTTTTAGTGGCTGAGGTTGGCTTTCGTGTCGTCTCTGAATGTCAGCCAAGACGTTTCATCTCTGAAGACGTTTGACCCCTTTTTTTTTTTTTTCAAATTTATACGATGCTAGGGAGTGAACCCAGCGCCCCACATGCGCTCCACGGAGCCACGCTGCCAGCCACACAGACCTGATCCTGGGACATGATGCATCTTCCTTGGTGCCTCTTCTCTGTGTCAAGATCTGGATGTCGACACATCCAGATCTGGACCCGGGTAATGGAGTTGTAGCTGTCTTCGATTTTATTTGTGCTTTTTACCTTGTTATTTCAGAAAACCTCCAGTATACCCAGAACTAGAGTGTCACACAGTGAACCCCCATGTGTCACAGTGGTTTGTGGGCACTTTGACCATATCCAGCACTGCGCATGTCCCCTCAAACTTGTCATTTAGCAGCAGTTTCCGGGGACTCTAAGCTGCAAGGTCCAGGCTGGTGCAGGAGTGGGGAGCCGTGATTGAAGGGCTTCCTGCCCCCCTCCACTTCCCCGCTGAGTCAGCTGAAAGTCTCAGATACGCAGCTGCTTCCGGGCTGGTCTTGGCTCTGGACTCAGCTCTGCCTCTACCCCGGGAGACAGCCCCAAGGATGACAGGACGGGGAGGCCCAGCCCCCAGCTCCAGCAACTAATTTATTGGACTGTCAGCTTGCTTCTCCCAGTATTTCTAGTTTTTCTCTAAGAAGCTGATTCCAACTCTACTGAAAAAATTCATTTAGAAAGCAATTTGATGGGCTGGATCAATCATACAGCAGGGAGGGAGTTAGCCTTATGTGCGGCCAACCCAGGCTGGCATCCCATTTGGTCCCCCAAGCATCTCCAGGAGTAATTCCTGAGTGCAGAGCCAGGAGTAATCCCTGAGCATTGCTGGGTGTGGCCCCAAAAGCAAAATAAAGAAACCTGCACACCTGCTGTCCGATTCTCCCAGGAGGGCAGGAGGCTTGGGAGAGCAGTCTTGGTCAGGTGTTGGAACTCAGCAGGACCCGGGACTCCTCAGCAGTTGTGCTGGGCACAATGCCAAAGGACTGATGGGACCCAGAGCTCTGTCCAAAAAGAAAACGTCATGTACGTCCAGTGGCCTGCAGAGCAGCAAGCCCAAGCTGGATTGTGACTCCCCATCTGTGAGAAGACTCGTGGCAATGGCAGGAAACAGAGAATGTGAAAGATTTGTCAGCAGAGTCTCCTACCCCCATGCCTGGCTGTCTTCACCGGGGCCCTGAGCAGAGCTCCGGCAGCCGAAGACCTCCAGAACCTAGTCACAGCCGTGCTTAAGACCACTCTTCACACGCTTGGATGAGCCTCATGCATGAAGGAATGGGCAGAGGAACACAGGTGCACGGGACCTGGGACTGAGATCTCCAACCCTGCTCAGATCGGGACTAGGCCTCCTCCACCCAGACACACCCCCCCCCCTCATTTTCCAGTAGTTAGGCAGTCACACCTACAAACTGCCCCTGGCGCCGTGTAATCCCATCAAGGACCAAGATCCAGAGACTATAAAACCAAGCTCCCGGAAGTGCATGGCTGCATTTGCGGCTGCACAACCTCTTTTTTTTTTTTTTACATTTTGGGTCACACCTGGCGATGCACAGGGGTTCCTCCTAGCTCTGCACTCAGGAATTACTCCTGGCAGTGCTCAGGGGACCATATGGGATGCTGGAAATCGAACCAGGGTGGCCACGTGCAAGGCAAACGCCCTTGCCACTGTGCTATCTCTCCAGCCCCTGCACAACCTCTTATAGTCTAGTTCTCCCTCTCGGAGAACCTGGCAAGCTACCAAGAGTATCCTGCCCGCACAGCAGAGCCTGGCAAGCTCCCCATGGTGTATTCAATTTCCCAAACACAGGATCTCATTCCCCTGACCCTGAGAGAGCCCCCAATGCGGCATCATTGGGAAGGATGAGTAAAGAGAGGCTGCTAAAATCTCAGGGCTGGGACGAATGGAGACGTTACTGGCCCCTGCTCAAGCAAACAGATGAATAACAGGATGATAGTGATTGTCAGCACTGGGGGGCTGGTGGAGTGGGGCAGGCACAGAGCCCCACTAGCAAGACAACCGCTGCATTTCATCAGATTCCTCTGACTCTTCTCTGCTCCGCCTAGTGTCCTGGGATGGTGCCAGCGCCCTGCATGGGGACCCTCCCACGGTGCTAGTGATGGTTCCCTCTTGGGATGATGTCAGCGGGACCTGCTCCTGGAATGAGGCCGCCAATGGGAGGCCATATGCAGTGACGCCTGGACCTCCAGTGACGACGCCCCCTGCCCGTCCCATGAGGGTGCCCACACGGCCTGGAAAGACTTGACCGGACAGATGAGTGAGAGGGCCAATTGCTCTAGCACTTCCTGTCACCTGTTTGACACCGGGAGATAATGCTGCTACTCTAGCAGCGTTAGAGGGAGACTTGCCCCCCCCATCAGAG